CTACAGAGTCATTTATTGAGACACAAAAGCAATTAATATTGAAAATAAAATAATTGTGAACTTCTGAACTAAATTACCATGCAGATATAATGTACTGTCTCATCAGTCTTTAAATACTTCATGTATTAGAAAATCGTAACACCAGTGTGTGAACCAGGGTCCTCTACATCATTAGCATTTATTCATTCTGCTTTGGCCAGAAGGGGATTCTCGAGAGTAGTAAATTAAAAACCAAGGATTCAGAAATATAATTCCAAATGTAAAATTCACAACCATGTGGAGGTTTGGGATTTCAGCTTGTAAATTAATTCTTTTCTTTGGTAGAATATTTTAAAAAGCTGAGCTTGTAATGTATTCCATAGTTCATTGACAGCAACAGGAACTTTTGCATTTTATTGATAATTTGACATTGTCATGGACCACCTGTTGCCAGATACCATGCATGCATTTGACGAATGATTCTGCCCTCAACCTCAAGCATCCTTGTGTAACTGACTTATGTACTGAGAGATGTTACATATCTTGTAACCCACTCAAGTCCCGACTTGCGTCACTTTGTTCTATGAAAACACTAAAAGTCCATAGAGGGGTTGGTCACCCATTATACTTACTTCTTCCCACTTTGGGAAATGAGCAGTCTTTAAGTAGGGAACCAATGTAGAGCTTATGATAAGGATTGGAAGAAAGTAATTAGGAACATTTGAGAGGGTGAGAGTGGAAAGAAGAGGAGGCTAGTGAAGGGACAGTGTCAAGAAAAGTATCCTGGAGAGTAACATGTCCTCTCATGCTGGAGAGCTCTGGAATTAGTATAGGACATGCCCGGAGCATTGCAACCAGGAGCGAAGGAGCTGGTGTACTTATTCCTCTGATATCTGACGATTCACCCACGAAGAATCAGAGTTTGGCTATTAGGAGTGAAAGCACATGGGGTGCTAATGTGTGGGAAGACGGGAAAAGGGTCTGAGGGGATGTGGACAGTGTCCTGGCAGCATACATCAGCCATATCAGATATTTCGTGGTTATCATTAAATGTGGAAAGATCGTTTAATCTTACCGGACCATGGTGATAGCAAAGAATTTACTGTCATCATCCTGGGAAATATACCTAATTCTTGACAGTCTCCATTCAGAGCTTGATATGCATGGAGAGCTTTCAAAGGGGCCAAGGAATCAATTTCCTACTGGTCCCAGGCTGGTGACACATGCTAGGCACGCTACTAAGTTAGGAAAATGAAGTAGGAGAGGCACAGTAGATAATGCCACTGTGAGAAAGCTTCCAAACCCCTGGGCGTAAGGCAGCAGGGAAGAGGCGGTCTCTGAAGAGCCATAGATACATCCATCTGAAAGAGTACTGGCTCAAAAATATGTTTGAGTGCACAATTTGACTGATCTGTAGCCCCCCCGCTCGCAACATGGAATGTCTAAAATAAATGACCTTCATATTAACATAAATATGGTTTGGACGTTGATTGAAAACTTTCCGGAATATAGAAAGGGAGAATAATGTTAAATTCTCTAGATTCCTGCCATCTCTTTAATGGTTGGGACTCTGCCTCAGAGAAATAGGTGCTTGTAGTAGTAGGTTCCATTGTAATATATAGCCAATACCTGAGGATTTCTTTAATACATATATGTATCCCAGGGAAGATAAATTAAACCCTTATTTTGAATGAGAGTTTGCCATCAGCATTTTGGGAGAAAAGAATTCTTTTCAGTATTCAATAAAACATAATGTTGTCTGTCTTTGAATAGGAAATAAAACACTGTCTCAATGCAATCCTTCCTTTGCCCCTCCTCCAAATCATGAGAGGGGAAAAATCTCTTTAATGACCAATACCCAACTAATGCCCATGCAAATTGATTGAATGTAGCACTAATCCACAAGCCTTGAAGTAAACCATACCATGAGTGTAGGAGCCTTCATTGTTAGATCTTTACAAAGTTGTATTTTATAGTGGCACTTTCCTGTATTATTCCCAGGTGCCATGACATCTTTGGGGTTTTCACAGTGATTCACCATCGATGATCAGGCAGATCATTGAAATGTTAGTTTCTAACCTTTGGACTAACTATGAATGGTCCCAGGGCTACATTTAAACATTATAAATCGTTCTGCTGGAAATTTCCATGCTTTTTGCATTCAACATGCAAACCAGGTCCTACTGGCAGTTATAAACCAGCTGGGAATAGACATTTTAGGAACCTTTTGCAATAAGCACTCTTGTGTACTGACATGACTTAAGATGTTCCATTGTTAAGGAACTTACGGTTATCTCCACAACTTTCCAAATTATGTTGGAGAATGGGAGTTGGGTTTTGATATCCCATTTATTTCCCCCCCCCTTAAAGTTTAAAACAAAAATACTTACCTAAAGACTGAATTTTAAATACTTAATCTCTTTGAAAAATTATAAGCAAAAATAAGTCCTTAAAATAAAACTTCAATTAATCTAGGTTGGCTTGCGGCACTGACTGAATTTGCCAGGTAGTTGAGTAACTTTCCACTTCACTTTTTGCTTTGAAGACTTGGCATAGGAAGGGCTTACTCATTCCTAGATCCTATGGGATGAAAGCAGCTTCAAAGTAAAAATAAGGACTTCTTTTGTTTCAGTTTCTTGACCGTGGAATTATGTTTGTGCTTGCTTTTATATTTTAAGAAGATGATGACCTTTTGTTCACTCAGGCTCAGCAGAGGAAGACTATCCAAATGATGGAGAAAGCTAAACTATCAATTATTTTAAAAGAAATAGAATAGTTTTGCTACAAACAATATCTTAACTACAGGCAATATTTTTACTATGGAGCTTGATCATTAAAGTCCTTTTAGAAGGGCTCTTAGAGAAATTGAATGATTGCTTAGATAAGAATGATTTATAAAGAGTTGTTTTGTCTTTTTTTTAATGTGTTTCTTACACTATTAATTTGCTTTGGAAGCCTGTCTTTATCATTGATACAAAGATACACTTCTGAACAATTAGCATTATAGTTATATGTGTTTTTTCTGAGTTAAACTATTCTTTGACACCATTCAAACCAGTGTTTAATTGTACACTTCCACTTTGCTCAGATGGTAAAAAATGTCTTTACAACATGAACTTCCTGCCCATTAACATTCACCTAAATGACACTAGGGTGCCATTTGGTTAATTACATTTGGAGTTCAAAATTTTGATTATGGTTGATTTATCAGAGGTAATCTCTTAAAGGCATAAAATTAAATAATGGGCAATGCAGGTAAAGAAGATTAACTTTCCCTAAATCATCAGGAGTGTCTTGGTTTTCGTAAGTATACTGGATGTTGATATAGTACACTTGGCTATTGTGTTGGGTGATCTGTGTAAACTCCAAGTGGTTAGATTCAGGGAATATTATGCCAACCGTGGGTCATTATAGGTTACAGGAACAAACTTACTGGTCTAATGACTTTTGATTTTAAGATATTATAAAACTTCACTAGCTTTTTCTTTCATTTAGTCTATTGAACTATTTAATGTGATCTATGCTAAGTGAAGCACAAAGGTAAAACTCTTGCTCTCATGGAGTATACAAGTTGAGTGGTGGGCAAATCTAAACCAAATAAGAAGTTAACGAATACAATTATTACAAGTTGTTTTAAAAAAAATGCTTGGAAATTAAAGACCTAGTGTCCTAAGGCAGAGAATGAGAGGGTGTGAAGTGATAGATGACTTAAGTTATTTTAGAACTGTATTTAAGTTATTCTAGACACTTAAGTTATTTTAGGAACTATAATTTACTGCTCCTAAATAATTCTAATGATAATATAATAAGTGGTCAATGCAGAAAACTTGAAAATTATCCAAAAATCCACCTATAATTTTTTTCACCAAGAGGTAACCAGTATTAACATTTTGGCAAACAGCGCCCACTTTCTGACATATATATGAATATTTATATATATGAATTTTTACAAGAAATAAAATCTTACTCCACACATTATTATACAGCCATTTTCTACTTTTTAGAATGAACATTTCTCCCATGATATTTTATATTGTTTTACATTATAATTTTAATGGCTGCATATAATTACAGTTATGTCTTAACCAATCCACCATTTGTGTACATTTCAGTTGTTTACAGTTTTTCACTTATACAAAGAGTGGGATGTCTATCCTTTTTCTTATTTTTAATTATTTCCTCAGGGAACACTCCTAAAAGTAGAATTGCTTGGTTTAACTCCTGAGGCTTTGAATATAGAAGTAGTATCCATAAAAAACAAACAAACAACAACAAAAAAACCATGTACTGAATACTTTCACTAGCTAGAAACATGTCCCCTCTCTATATATATCACTTTTATTAGGTTATTTTTTCATTTTTAAACTTTTATCATTTCAGTAGTCACAAAATTACAACAATAACTATTCTATTTTTTCATTTTATGTGAAATTTGAATATACTTCTAGTAATGTTTTGAGATTTGCAATTGCTTTTAAAGTAAAACTAGAAACAAAATCAAATGTAGAGTAATTGGGAACTTTTAGAATATGAGCATTCTGAAGACAAAATTGAAGGAGTTGCTCTTTACAAAAGCAAGTCAACAAGGTACAAATGAGAACATCAGTAATAGAATGGGAACAAAAAAAAATGTACTGTTTAGTGAAAACAAACAAACTTGAAATCAAGGTTAGGAATCTTTGTCCCATAAATCAGTTTGCTGAAATTTCTGATGAGCAATTTATTTTTAAATTGAATTATGAAAATTGGCAGTATGTTAGAATTCCTGTGATTATTCTTTTGAAAGAGATTATAGGAAACCAATGAGAAAAATAGGTTGTCTATGAAGACTACATTCCAATAGCAATGATAAATGGAAGATTTTAATTTGTAGGTCCCCTGGCAAACATTTTTCCCTATAACTGTTAGTTATCAAAATTAAATAATACTAAGAAAATTTAGTGGCTGTATTAAATGCAGTGACAGAATGTAGAATTTAAAGGAATTTGGAAGATTGTCTAACACAGCTCCTCATTTTACAGGTAAAAGAGAGTACTGCAGAGATGAAGTGATTTGTCCAAGGATCCATACCTGGTGAGTAAAGAAAGAAGAAATAAACAAATCCGAAAAATTAACACAATGAATATCCTGAGTGGAGATAGAAAAGAGCTGGGTTTAAGTTTCCATGATAGCTGTGGGGACAAATGCAGAATTTTTGTACTCACATAGATGAAGCACTTGAGCAAGGAAGAATTGACCAAATTTATTGTTACCTCAACAAGACAGACTTATATCATGTAGATTCTCTTAAAATGTTTTCATATTGTTTGCAAAGATTGGGTAGACATGACCATACCAAAATGGTCCTGAGATTGTCTGAGAAAAGATTAACATGCTTGGCATGGAACTTCTGCAATAAAAGAAACACTGTAGTTTAATTCATAGTGATTTAAGAAGATGGGAAATTTTGTGAGATAGGAAATCTAATTATAGTAAAAATAAAATTTCATTTACCCATCATTTAATCCATTATTCATTATACTTTTTATTGGGAAGATAAGTATGTACAAAGAGTAGCAAAAACATTTTAAAGTGTACTAGGGAAAAATAAGGAATTAATGTAATGCTACTTAACTATAAATTTCTCATATTATAATCATATTTTAATTTAATCTTCAAGTGAACCTATTGGGTAAGTTCAATTGGTTATTTTAAAACAGAATTCCTATAGCAGTTCCAAATAACTTTATTGCTTTCTCTAATTCACTTGGAATTTAATGTATTTTTTAATGACTTGATAACTTTATTTTCTATTCTACTTAGTATGGTTATACATTCAGTTGAAAATTTTAATATTTGAACACAGCTTCCTTCTGTTTGGTTTTGTTTAGTGGCTTTTCTTAATTATTAGCTAGCTTTTCATCCAAATTTAAATGTAAAGTGAAATAATTTAATAAACTTATTGTTATAGTTTAACACCAATATATTGATTTATTTAATTTTATATTCCAGAAATCAAAGTATTTCATACTAATTAAATGTTGCTAATAATGACTATGGCATACAAGTTAGAGAAAAAAGTGATTCATACTGTTTTGTTCATTTGTGGGAATAAGTATATGAATATGGGCAAGATATTTTTTTGAAAATAAAAATCTTGTTGAATCTGATATGCAGTGCATATTTTAATAAAGCTTAAGTAATTAAAACATCTTGGCACTGATTTAGGAATAAAGAGATCAGTGAAATAGAATAGGGTCTAGAAAGAAATCTAAGTATAGGGATTTAATATTGGATAGAAGTAGCATTTCAACTTAATAGCAAAATAATGGTACAGTCAAGAAGTAGTAAAGAGAAAAAAAGACAACATAAAAATGTCTTTATGGAAAAGACAAAATTATAGCATTTTTTTTCAGCAAATAAGGAACATATACATATAGACACATCCATAAGAATAGAGTACATAATTTAGTGAAGAAATAGACAAATGGTATTCTTACAAGAAATATCAATGACCAGTAAATAAAATTTAAAAATTGTTCAAGTGTACTAATACTTAAATACAGGTTAAAATGTATTTTGTGTTTTAGAATTGATAACATTGAACAATGGCAAGGTCATAGGGACATCTGTGCTCTCTTCATTATAGGTGGGGATATGAGTGAAATAACTTTTCTTGGAGTAAAATTGACCAATTATTATTAAAATTCCAATTATAGGCACTGTATGACCCAATTTTCTAACTTCTCAGAAAATATTCTATGAGATTATTGAAGTTCATAAGCTCTATGTTCAAGATGTTCATTGTGCTTTGTTTGTGACAGAAAAAAAATAATAAAATAGAAGACTGGTTAAATAATTCATGGTATTTCAATATAAGGAAATCTATAGGTTTTATTAAAATGCAGTAAATCTATGTCAGATTACATGTAAATATGTCAGTGGTGATTGAGAAATGCAAGTTATATGATTTTGTTAAAAATAACATTATAGTTATAAAAAACTAGAGGCTGGTGAACGGAATTTGTGCACAGGTAGTTCCATAGGCCTGGCCAGCGATCAGGGTGGATTGGGGTCTTCTGGCTACCTGCCGGGGCCTTCATTCCCTGGCTGCTGGCCAGAGCCTTCATTCCCTTGCTGCCGGCTGCCGGACAACACCTTCCTTCGTTCCGTGCCACCCCCTGGTGGTCAGTGCACATCTTAGTGAGCGATCGAACTCCCGGTCTCCCGGTCAAACTCCCGAGGAGACACTTTGCGTATTAGCCTTTTATATATATAGATATTTGTCTCTGGGTTTAGAATTGGAAGAGTGGGTAGGTTATTTATTTTATCCTCTATTATTTTAATGTATTCTGATTATGGGTGCTTTTTACTTGATTTTGAAATATATAATTAGTATATAAACATGGAAAAAACAGAAAAGTGAAAGTAGAACAATAAAAATAGTAGACAAGGGATCTATTTTATTCTTGTGCTACCTGACTACAAAATTGTTTTGATATATAACCTTGAAATGAAGTATTCATTAAAAGTGCATATCTTCAAGAAATTACATTCCTAGGTATACACCCAAGAAAAATGAAAATAGATGTCTGCACAGAACTTGTATTACTCATAATATCCAAAGTGTGGAAACAACCCAGATTTTTACCAACTGATGAATAGATAAATAAAATGTGGTATATCCATATAATGAAATATTACTGTAGTAAAAAGAAATAACATGCCAATGTACATTATAACCTGGCTAAATCTTGAAAATACTATGTTAAATGAAAATAGCCATTCCCAAATAATATATGTTATTCTACTGATATAAAATGTTTAAGATATGTGCATGCCGAGAGAGAAAATAGATTATCGGTTGCCTAGGGCGGGCTAGGAAAGATAAGATAAAGAGTTATTGCTACTGGGATTTCTTTTGGGGAGATGAAAATTTTCTAAAATTAGGTCATGCTGGTGGTTGTACAACTCTGTGAATATACTTCAACCATTGAATTGTACACTTTAAATAGATGAATTTTATGGTATATGAATTATCTATAATAGTAAAAGCATAATATGCTAATTAGACCAGACATCCTTCCAGATGAAGCCCATGCTGCAAGGGAAGCCCGGGTCCTGGGTGCCTGCCAGCAGCCAGAGGGAAGCCAGTGCCAGCAGCTGGGAGAAGGAAGGCCTACTCTTGCACTGATTTTGTGCATCAGGCCTCTAGTATTTCAATAAAGATTCTTAAAAGTACACACTTTCAACACTAGAAATAAGGAGACTTTAGGACATGCAGTTCATAGAGTCCATGGTACTTTCCTTTGGATTTTTAAACAACAAAACAAGAGCAGTGTAAATTAGGACAATTTCTGAAATGGCTTCTTAGAGATAGGGAGTAATAAAGATTATCAGTACTTTAGTAGTCTGGAGCTGAGTCTGAAAATGGAACATACCCTTTTAGTAGTTACTGAAGTTTCCCTAGCAAAAGGGATCTACACCAGTGGTGGTGCCAGTGATGATTTAAATCATATTAAATTATATAGTGAGGAAAATATTTTATTTCCCTTACCATTTGTCCTCTAAAACTTTGGATTATCTTGGTAACAGAGGGTATTTGATGGTTTCCCATTGTCTATAGCTTTTTTTTTTTTTAAGGAGTCCAGTCCTGAGACTCCTTAGGCCACCCCATCTAACAGGGCTCATTCACATTGTTTGTTTTCATCCTTTTTATTTTTATAATTTATCATTTATTTGAGTTAAGTGAAGCTGATTTATCACTTTTACAGCATTATAATTTGCCCAATATAAACACATTTATTCAAGTACAACACATACAACATGTGCTGACCTAAATAAAAATAAAAAGAATGAAAGTTGTTTGTCTAGTTCGGCAGAATTCATGCTGGTGGAATGTGAATAACTGAAATTTAAGAAGAACTTACAGACTATAGCAGTCATACAATTTTGGCACTTCAGGGACCTGTAGACCAGTTGGTTCAAGACATTTGTTTGACAAATGAGGTAACATAGACCACAGAAGGTTGGGGCCTTGAACAGAGTTACATTTTCAGACCCAGCTTTAAGGTAAGAGAAGCACTGGTAACTCCTTTTACCCACATCACTAAGGGGAAATCGCAGGAGGTGTGGTTTAGCTCAGCTGAACCAGAATTTATTCCTCTGTGATTTAGGGAGACTCAATTAGGGAAGACTGTGATCACCAAATGCCAAGTTACAATCTCCCCATTTCTGTTTGCAGTGCAGTGTTCTTGAACTTTTGTTGTCAGGCACAGGCAGAGAGTAGAGAGATGGGATTAGGAAAAGGCAGGAGCGGGAGGAAGGGCAGACCTATCCTGCCTTTTTGTAAAATGCCAAACCTAATTTCAATGATTGCTTTAGTGATATAACGATAACCAAGATGAAAGCAAGCAAGCACCCACTTTAGGATATGAGAGCTGAAATTTTAGATTTCATTATAAGATTGCCATTTCAACAAAATAGTAATATGATGGCAATGGATTTTCATTTTTTTCTCCATTTCTGTTGAAACAGTCTCATAAATATCCTTAGATACAAAGGAGATCTCTCAATTTCACAAGAGCTCAAGAGCTCTATTTTATTCCTATGCTGATTTATCTCCAAAATATCTTTTTGATGTACCGCTTCAATATTCTTGCCAATGTCCATGACATCAGCAATCGAAAATGGCATTATTTTTAGGGTTGTTTTATTTTTACATATAGTTGTAGGTTATCAAAAAGAGTGGGGGGAACTCCTGCTTTGTGCTCACTCACTGAAACATCTCCCTGCTGTTAGTAAGGGAGTTTATGGCTCATGTACCTAATTGTTCCGGGGGGGGGGGGGGGGGGAGGAGAGATAGTATCCATGAAAGGAGGCAACTTTACCTAGAGCTACTGGGTAAAATGAACATAAGGCGCAGGGAAGGAAACTAGTACCTTTATCTGTTAACATTTCTTATACGAGGAGAAAGTGTTTTTCCAAATTGTATTTTAGGAAACGGAGGTTCTCAGACCACATAGATAGAAAGTGACAGAGCTCTGCCTCTCTAACCCTCTACACTCCCAGGTCCACAAACTGAACTTCAGACC